TTCAAATCCAGATTTTTAAATCAAATCAAATTCAAATAAGCCTAATATTTGATTTGATTTGATTTTGAGAAACACTATTACCTATGCATACTAAATGTGAATATTTTATGTATATATCTATACATATGTTTTATACTTACTCCTGTCAAATTTTTTTTATTAGTAATGCGCTTAATTAAGTATATGGTTAAATCCTAAAGTTAATTGCTATTAAATACTGGTAAATTTTAAAAAATTTAACATGTTGAATGGTATTATTCAACTGCCATTAGACCTGCCTATTAGACCTGCATTCAATATATTAAATGATAAGTTATTCAACTGATATATCAAATAATATATTATGTGGCTACTGTGGCTTCACAAATATCAATGTCCATAAAGCCACAGAAGCTACATGATATATTATTTGATATATTGAATATAAGTTGAATGACTTATCATTTGATATATTGAATGCAAGTCTAATGAGCAGGTCTAATAGTAGTTGAATAATACTATTCAATATACTAAATTTTTTAAAATTTATCAATAAAAATGCTAACTAGGGATTGAACCCAAGTAGAAATTGTTACAATATGATTACCTAAAATATATAATAATTTATCTGAGTAATTTAATAATATCTGAGTAGAAATTTTCTCAATAGGTTCAATCTCTAATGCTAAATACAAGTTAAAAGCCACTTATGCTTAATTAATTAAGATCAATATTAGTCAGATCATGAAAGTTACAAAAATAATAAAGGTGGGTAATTATAAGTACTGTTCACTTAAATATTTATTTTATTAATTATAAAATCTATTCCCAAACCTTATAATACAAACTATTACATTTAATAAACAAAATTTTACTTATAACTTCAGGTAACAATCTATTTTTTTTAGAAGTAATTTGGTTTCTTGCATCAGAAAAAAGATGCTCACTTGAAACTAAGGTAGCAGGGATTGATAAATATTTACAAGCTATTCTACTTAAAATAAAAAAAGAATTTTAATTTTTATGCCACCAATCGTAAATATCAGTAGATTCAGATAAATTTGTTATTACTATTTATAAATAGTTATCAATTTCAGTTTTGTTACTTCTTTGTTTACTACTAATGCTAAATATTTTCTCATAAAATATGGGGTAACAGTAACAGTTTCTTCATAATGAGATTCTGATTTATCAACTACAGATATACCCTGCCAATTTCAAAATTCAGCATATAGTTTGTTAATCGTTTCTTTTCTTATCTCTGCAGACCATAAACTTATTAATCTTAATTGTGGATCTAATAAAATAGTTTAATATTTTTTGAATCTTGCCAGTAATACCATAGTGAGTTATAAATAACTCCTTTGAAGCTTTGAGATTATGCTACTAGGTAAGAATTGGCTTTCATTATTATTATCGAGATTCTCGTTACTAAAATCATTTTTGTCTAATAATGTTTCATCTATATTTTTTAAATATTTATTAATTAATACTTTATAGTAATTATAAAATTATATTAATTATTATTTACTATTATTAAGATTTTCTATAAAGAACTCATCAAATAATTCATTAGCGAATTTAAACTTTAATGTCTCTATATATAGATTAATACTGAAAGAATAGTATATTAGACTCTATTGAAATAAGTTGTTAATTCATTGAATAGCCTTAATGCTTCTACCAATTGTTTTAATAACTGCTATTCAAAATCTTTAAGCATATAATGGTTCAATTTAGCAAAATCTTCTTTAGCAGTATCTTTATTTTGTAGAAATAAAGTTCCAAAAAGCTATTCGATTGCTAGATATAAAGTTAAAAGTCTCTGCCAAAATTTGTATAATGAATTCTAATGGATTTTGGTATCCTCAATAGTATACAAAATAGATAGTATTTCATATTTTTTTATCTCATTATTATCTTCTGGTTCAGATATGTTTTTAAATATATTTTCAGAATGAAGTTGAATAGGCTTTGTACAGGTTGCATTACGGTTTGTCAAGTTAATCTGTGTCTAGTCAAGATATTAACTTTGTTTTAAGAATCAGAAAAATTTGATGAGTTTTTTAATATATTTAGTATATGGATTAATAAATTTTAAAGCCTAAAGAACTGTAAGTTGTAGTGTATATATAGCACAAAATAAGCGTTCTATGCTATTCCAAAATTTAATTACCTTTTTTGTGTTTGTTCTATTATCAGTTATTGTGCAAATAATTTTATCAGATAATCCAAACTCTTCAATTTTAGTGCTTAGAAATTCTTTGATTTTTTCACCCATATGTAAATGACTAAACTTTTTAATAGCTAGCAGAACGTCATGAACTTCAAAATTAGATGTTAGCTAGTGAAGAATTACACCAATATATCTATCATTAGTGCATGATATCCACAAATCCATGATTATAGATACAGTTTCACAAGTAGCTACAAGTAATTTTTTGAGTTCTATAACACCTTTTTGATAAGCAATATCAATATTTTTTCTAATATATTTGTAATTTGGTGGTTTAAATGCAAGATCAAACCGTTGCATCATTTTTAGATAACCTTTTTCGCGTACAATATTAAATACAAAGAAATCAGTAACTAACTATTCAACTATAACATGTCTTAATTCTGATTGTTTAAACTCATTATATAGTAATAGTTTTTTAATCATTTTATTTATATTTAATTAATGCTTTTCACATGAGTTCAATTATAGCTCATCAGATCCAAAATTCTTATACACTAATTGTAAATGCATTTTCATATTTCTAGTTGCTCCAATATGCTTATAACTTTTATTACAATCAAGGGTGTGGCAACGTAGAGTAGTGGTTAAGTTGTCACCCTCCAAGTGGCAGGTCTAGAGTTTGATTCCTACCAGAAACGTTTTTTGAAAAATAGGCCTATGTACTGGTAATATTTATTCGACGATCGGTTAGGTATATCACCCGTAACCTTGGTACCACTATCTCAAAATGAAAGCTTTAAAGCGATCTAAATCCAAGAAACCGGAATATTTGAAACCCGTTTGGCAAGACCCAAGCTAGGAGTAGTAAAGATCTTTGATGATATTACAGAAAATCAGAAACCAGAGACTGAAGAACCGGACAAAAAACTCTGAGGCAAGATAGGTCTACTAATCTGACCGCCAGAGTCGCACCAAAGGAAAAGATCTGATGCTACAGAATTCGGAACCAAGAGAAGTAAAACTAGAAAGCACTTAGAGCCTAGATATAACAACCTTTCTAGGCTAATTGGTTTGGTAGTTAGGAAGAGATCAGTATAAGGGCCGGTTAGAAGTGGATATCGGGATCAGAATAAATCTTGTAAGGGCAAGGAGTAAATAATGGTAGCGGCCACAAAAGCCGCAAGTACCAGTTCTCAGATTGGGCATAAGTTACTGAAAAAACTATGTGATACATGTATAGGATATGGACCGCTCTGGTAGGTTTACCACGAGGATAAAGTAGTTCTAAGAGGCCTTAGGGGTAAGAATTCTTTCGGAGAAAGCATCTGACGGCACTAAGTCGATCAGAAGGTTTAAATAGGGGATCTACAAGTAGATCTTAGATATAGCAATTGGTAAGTAACTATAGATAAAAATAGATATAGCAGAGCTCTTAAATAGGAAATGACTAAAGTTGTACATATGATCAATTGTACTCTCGTTGATATAACAAAGTCAAGAGATGCCTATTCGGCATCCTGATAATTGAATTGAGAAGTTAATAAACTAGGCCAGACCCCAAAGTGGTCACCTTAATATTAAAAAAAAAAAAAAAACTTTTATTACAATTAGTTTTTTTACTTTTTTTGGTTATAATTATCTTGCAAATATCATTATCATCCTCTTTTTTAAAATAATTCTAGACATATGACTTCTTTCTAGACTTATTCGGATTAAAAAAATTTATATGAATGTTTTTTGTATCTGGTTCTTCTGCAGGTTCTTCTACAGCTTTTTGTCTAGGTATACTAGTAGAAGATTCAACCTCTTCTTGAATATTATTATCAAAGATGTATTCAATATCAGAATTATATTTGCTATTATTTCTATGTTTTTTTTAAAAAAAAATTATAGGAATCTAACTGATGATAATTTAAGATTTAAATAAGTATATATATATTTTATAACAAAATAAAAGTCAGTTTAGAAACAACTTAAGATGAAATTAATCTTTATTAAATATTGTAATAAGATTCTTATATATATTTTTTGTTGTATATGTAATCTAAAATTTTTTTATTTTTTTTATTTAAACTATACTAACAATATCTTTTTTCTTTTGATACAAAACAATTATATGATGTTTTAATCATTATACCAAATTATTATACTTCAATAATGTTTGTATAAATCATATGATGTCTTTTGGATAAGATTTTAATATTTTTAAGATGAGTTTTCATTAATAAGGTTTATTGTTCAAAATAATTACTGGCTACAATGTCTTTTTTTTTATATTGATTTATTTAAGATTTTGTATTGCTAGATATCATTTTTCTTTTTTTGCACTGTCGCAATATTTCTTTTTCCCATTATATAAATTTACTATGTATATAGCATAGGCATTGCTAATAAAAGCCATTTTGCATTAGGTTTCTGCAAGCCAATGCATTATATAAATTGATAAATGAAATAAGAGGCATGCCATTTATCACGTAATATTTTTTACTTAGTAGCCACCCCCATCTATGTATAGTGTGATCACCCTAGCTTGATTCTGATTGGTCGATTTAATTAATTATTAAAAATCTTCTTAATATTTTTAAAATTAAATAACTTTTGATCTACTGATCTGATTTGGATGATTTAACTGTCAAAATGTTCGTCTTGATGAGACGATTCTAATAAGTCCAAAATCGCTAAAATCTAGTCACAGGATCCTGAGATCGTTAAGGTTTTTTGTACTATTTTGTATATAATAAAATTAATTTTATTATATATAAAATAGT